AAGTGGCTCCAAATACATGCTGTTAGGTCTAGTGATTTTCACAAACTAAGAATATTGAGAGTGATAGTTTTTTGTCTGATATTTTTATTTATTTATTTATTTATTTATTTTTAAATGTCTTTTAGTACAGGGCCCACAGGGTCTGACTACACAGGTCAGACTTGTAGTAATCCTCCTGTTTTTAACCTCCCAAGTGATGGGATTACAGGGGTGTGCCACCACGCCCAGTCTCAATCTCTGTCTCAGTGTGCCCCAGGGGCTGGGCTGGCACTGCACACCAGGAATCGAACCTGGGTTGCTGTATCTGCTTAAGCAAGCACTTTAGTCTGCTGAGCTATCTGGCTAGCCCTTGAGATTATTATTCTTACTATTGGCCTTGAATGTAGCGTTAATTACTGTTTGCATTTAATAATTGTATAGAGGTGCCAGTGAGATGGCTCAATAGAATAAGTGCTTGCCTGGCAAGTGCAAAGGCCTGAGTTCAATTCCCGGTTCGGGGGTGGGGTGGGAATATATATATTACATAGATACTGCTTAGGCAGGCGCAGGATCGGGGTTTTGAAAACAGGAGGATCACTACAAGTTTGATCTGTGTGGTGGGACCCTGAAGATCCTGTACTAAGTACAAATTATGTAGATACAGTATGTGTGAGGAACACACATTACAGCTCTTCCCCCACCCTCCTTTTTTTTTTTTTTTTTTTCTGGTTAATTTTAACAAAGAAAGATTTCCTAAGAGCCCTGAATAATAATATTTGTAATTCATATATGCTTATTGTACTAATTGGAGTTTCCTTTAACATATGGAGACACATCAATGCCACCTGTAGCCTATTAATGTAGTAAGGTTAAAAAACTGTTGTTTATAAGGTGTGATAAAATATGGTGAACATTTAAATTTGAAAAATTTCATTATATCCAAAGATACATTGCCATTAATTCTCTTTGCAGTATTCACACTTGATTCAAATGGAATTTTGTTGTGATTCTTGCCACTTTCTTAAGCAGCCCTCGACTGTTTTGTGAGTGTCTTTGGTTGGGTTATTGTCCTCAATGTCCTGAATCATTAGTGCTTATTTTCATAGTCATTTTGTCTTTTTGGAGGACCCTAAAGTAGTATGGTGCCGATCTGGTGAATTAATATGGATGAAAGGTCACAATGATGTTTTTGACAGAAACTGCTTTAAACTCTTTTAAGGAGACAATCTAGAAGGAGAATTGGCCGGCTGAATGAAGTCTTTGTTTTTAGATTTTTGTAGAATAATGAAGTTCTACTCTGCCAGAAAGAAGGGTGAACATGATTATTTGTAGGAAAATGGGTGTACCTTGAGACTATAATGCTAAATGAAATAAATCAGACACACATGCTTGAATATTGTACTTCTCTTATATAAGAGACCCAGAGTATAAAGAGCAAAATAAAAGATAGATAGTGTAAAATAGAGAGATTTTTGTAAAAGGGAGGAAGGCCAAGTGATAGAGGGAGAGGAGAGAAGGGAAAGGAATGGGATAAAAAAAAATTAAAGTGTTTTAGGTTCATGTACCAATTCCTCATGAGTAATGTGACCATTAGGTACTGCAAACATACCAATGAAAATAAAAATAACAAAAAATTGTTAGTAACAAAAAAATTGCCATAAGTATTTGATCAGTGAAAGATGATCATAAAATAGTGAAATGTTGACATTAAAAATTTGTTATGACAAAATCAACATTGCCACTAATTCCTCTCAAGATGCCCTCACTTCAAAAATTTTATCACATTTTCCTTGGTAATGTGACTTTTAGTTAATAAGTTTTTTATTTTTTAATTTAAACATTCACTGTATCTTTTGATTGTCCTTTCTATATTTCAAGATGGCATAAGTTTTTTTGAAAAATTTCCTTTTCTCTCACATTGTAGTTTTGTTTTTATCCTTTAGAGGAATACTTGTTAGGGTCTTAATAGAAGTAAAAATTGCTTTTATTTTTTGTTAGAAAATATTACTAGTTGGGCTGGCAGATAGCTCAGCCTCTTAGACACCTACTTAGGCAGAGTACAGGGGCTGGGGTCCCCTGCCCCCACTACAAGCCCTAAGGGCCCTGCCGGCCTTGCCCTCCGGGTGTGCTGAGAAGTTGATTGAGGCTGGGTGTGGTGATGTGCACCTGTAATCCCAGGGTTTGGGAGGCTGAAAACAGGAGGATCACTCTGAGTCTGATCTACATAGTGAGACCCTATAGACTCTGTACTAAAT